GGGACAGAGTGGCCAGGCAGGGTGGCACCTGCAGTCCCCATCCCAGATGAGGCTCTTGCATAAAAAAAAGTGGGGGGATATTGTTTGTAGTGGTGGTGTGGGATGGGGGAGACCACCGTGGGCTGCACAGAGGCTGCCTGCGGAGGTGGCATTGTCACAGGGGTTTAGTTTCTCCCTAAGGCAGGCAGCCTCCCCCATCCCTCTGCCCCAGGGATCCTGCTCCACTGAAGGTCAGGTCAAGGCTGTGCTAGAGGTCTGCGACCCAGGTCCATGCTGCCAGCAGCTGTGCCCCTGGCTGGCCCCTGGCCCCATGCCATAGCCATTGCCAGATCCCATTAGCACCTGGTTGCATCCCATGGGATCGTGCCTGGCAGCACAGGATGTCACCTGCCTGGGGGTCCTCCTCAGTCCTGTTCCCCAGGAAGGCATTGGTGGGGCACGGCAGTGGGGCCAGCTCTCACCTTGGACAGGGTTGTAGCACTGCAGGGTGAGCGCATTGTACTTGACGGCGCAGGAGCCCACAAGGTACAGCTTGCCCAAGCAGCTGGTGGCCGCAAAATTGCTCACATACTTGAGGGCTGGGCTGATGGCACACCAGCTCTTGCTGTAGGGGTCGTAGCGCTCCACCTCCACCGCGTCCACCGTTGTCCCTGCAGGGCAGTGGGATGCTGCAGCCACCCCACTGCTCTGGGGCACCCATGGACCCCCACCCCCATAGCACCTGCGGGGTCTTCATGGCCTTACCCCCAATGACGTAGATCTCACCATTGAGGACAGTGCTGGTGTGGTTTGTCCGGGCTCTCAGCATGGAAGCAATGGGCTTCCAGGTGCCATCCCTGGGGCAGAAGCACCAGGCCTGGGTAGTTGACCATGTGTTGTTCTGGGAGCCCCGGGAACCACCTGGGGAGGGATGGGTCAGGCGGGCCGTCCACTCTGAGTGCAGCCGTCCCTGGGCATCATTCGCCAGTGGCTGGATCCACCCAAGAAGGGAGCAAGAAGAGGGCTTTGCTTGGAGAGGAGGGTAGCCCCCAGTCCCACACCACTGCCCTGTGCCCACATTTTTGTCCCCAATCCTCCATCCCTGCTCCTTGGGGAGCCCCACCCTGCACTGGCAGCCCCAGCACCTACCTGTGACGTACACATCATTGTTCAGAGCCACCAGGGAAAAGCCCCATTTGTTGTAATCAGGGAAGTCAGGCAGAGCTATCCATCGCCCTGAAACCCAGCGGAGCCAAGTGATGACCCCTTGCAGCCAGCAATGACACTTTTAAGCCAGCCCTATTTCACTGTTCCTTCCTCCCCACCTCCCCAGTGCACCTCCTCACACCAGACCATTTGGCAAGAGGTGGCTTTGGGGTAGATGGAGGGTTAATTAACATGGGCGGGGGGGGGTGCACTTGCCCCATCCCTGCTATGGACACTTACTGCTTTTGGGGTTGTAGAAGGCGAAGTTCCTAGGCGCAGCTGGCATCTCCAGCCCGCCATCCTCATCCTCACTCTCCTCCAGCACGCGGCCGCCGACCACCACCAGCACCTCCTCCAGCTTCTGCAGTGGGGCTGGGGGGTTCTTCTGGGCACTGGCATCACTCTGCCTCTGATGGAGAGGCCAGGGCAGGACCGTCAGGCTCTGAGCTGAGCCTCCTCTGCTGCTCGGGAGGTGGGATTTGGGGCAGGAGCTACTCACCGTGGCACAAGATCGGGCGACGAGGGCCTTGCTGGCATCTGAGTCACGGATGAGAGGCTCGGTGGCAAGCAGGTTCTGCAGGTACTGGTCAGGCAGCGACATGATGTGGGCCAGCTCCAGCAGCTCAGGCAGGAACTGGGCTCGGAGCCCTGGGTCATGGCGTACCCAGCGCAACACGGCCTCGGCCAGGCTCTGTTCTTCCTGCACCTGCAGCTGGTCGTTGGAGAGGTAGACAGCCAACCTCTCCTTGGAGAGCTGGAGGAACTCCTCCTGCCGAGAGACGGCTTCAAAGTTCTCCTGCAAGAAAGACCAGGCCTTGGAGGAGACCTCAGGGCAGCCGTGGCTCTCACCGAACTCGCAGATACCTAGGCAGTTGGTGGCATCCATCTGCTGCCGGAGGTAGCGGCTGCAGACCTTCTGGACAGTGGGGAAGTGGAGCTGGCTGGAGGTCCGCATCAGCCCCTCCACGTTGCCCTGGTTGATGGTGACCTTCCCCGTGTAGGCAAAGTCGAGCAGCATCTCCAGTGCGCTGGGGTCCACCTCCTTCAGCTCCACCCGTGCCGCGATGCTCTCGGCAAAGTCGCCAGAGAACATGGCATGGAAGTAATGGCTGCAGAGGGCCAGGATGCCACGGTGGCAGGGGAACTCCCGCCCGCCTGCCACCAGTGTCACATCTGCCAGTTTGGGGTTGGCGCGCAGCTGCTGCAGCCCCTCCAGCATGCCCTGGGCATGCGAAGGCAGGCAGAAGTCAAAGTCATCCACGTTCCTCACCATGGTGCTGAGGATGGCCGCAGGGACCGCCTTGCTGGCCGACAGAGCCCGAGCAGAGCGTGCCGAGGGCGTCCCTGTCAGGAAAATGCGATGACATTCTCCCTCTCTGCCCCCTCCCTGGCACAATCGTGCCTTCCCAATGCCTGATCTACAGGCACCAGCAGGGGCAGGAGAAGTGCTCCCTGGAACGCCGACTCCCACTTCTCCCACTTTCACGGTGGCCGAGATTTCTCCTCCCCATGCTCCGAGCT